TGCTCTGCATTCTGTGGAGTCTCTGTCTCTCTCCTCCTTGTCTGTTTTTTTCCTCTCTCATACTTTGCTTACATTGCATTATCACACACATTTTGCTCTGCGCATTTGCTTCGTCTGAGCTCCAGCACTCTCTTTCTCTCCCCTCAGAGAGCCACTGAGGTCTCCGTTCAGCCGCAGCAGGCAGCTAATGCCAAGACTCAGGCTGATGAAGCACTGCCAACTGCTGCCAGCCAAGTTAGTGTGTGTGTGTGTGCGTGTGCGTGCATACTCTGTGCAAGATGGGAAAGCAGTGAATGAGCAGGATGTCAAGCAGCCAGACTTGCTGGAAGGGGCTGTGTGTTGAGAGCTACTGATGTGTCTATCAATTGACAGTGTTTGTGAGTGGTTGTCATCAGCTCTCACAGAGTCAGCCTGGTAAAATGCATTATCCATCATTGCAGAGAGTTTGATGTTCAGCTGCCATCTTCTCTTCTCTTAGGTACAGTGGACAGGATATGTAAATGCAGCAGGGCAGCAGGGGAATGAGGATGAAGGTCAAGGGAATGAAAGTGAAAGAATGCAGAAGTGGTGGGTTGGGGATGACAGTTAAAGGTCACATAAATGGGCATGACAGTGACAAATGTTAAAGAGGAAAGAAATGGAATATGTGAGGAAAGAGAAAATACTGTGATAGTGCTGCTGTTCTTGACATTTACAGGAGGAAATGGCAAAGTTTACTTCATGAACCCTCTGCTGTCCCTTATTTCTACAGACCTTTCCTTCATTTATGGTTAGTTCCTTTACACTCTTAACCCAGTCCCTCTGGGATGAATATACAAAGAACGGATGTCAGGTAGCGTTTTGGCTATAAATCTCATGTCGCTACTCTGTGATAAGCCTGTAATGCGTCTGTGCACAGTGTGCACCTGCACATAGTGACATTTCTCATATTTTGTTTGGTGTGTATGAAGACGCTCTCTGCCAGTGATTCTGCAGGTGCTGCAGACACTGCATGTGGCTCTGTTCTAACTGTAAATGAAGTATTACTTTTTGTAAATGTCTCTAACTGTGAGTATGAGTGCAGTCTAAAGTCAGGTTTCTAGTAAAGCTAGAAAGCTACCAAGGGTGTACAATGCTCCATTTTTTTTAGAATTTAAATAATTGAAAATGTCATTTTTGGTCAAAATGTGGATTTAGATTCACTAGATTCAAATTATGGGTTTGACAATCACTTGTCATGAGATCCTGTGATGTTAAAATGTGTGTTGGGGATGTTGTAGTCATTATGCGGCCACGTTGTGATGAGTCTGTGAGTGGCTTCCTGTGAGATTCCATTGTGTTTTGGTTAGCTATGCGGCTAATGTAGCCTACTCTACCTTAGCACCAATTCTACCCACCAGTGTGCTGGCACTGATGGATTAAAAAAAAACAAACACAGTTTAACATCCAGTACTAAGAAAAATGCATGGCATGTTGTTATGGTGCCTTAATTGTGGCCCATATTTGACAGTGAATAGCAGCAAATGATCATGCAAACAAGGTAAACAAAACTCTTTTTCCCGTAGGCCTCCATGTCCTGGTTGTCCCTCGTATGTGATCGGTCAGCACAGCGCCTTTGCCAGATGATGTTACCACCTGGTTCAGTGTGGGTGAAAATGGCACAGAAGGTTATACTGCAGCTTCAGGTAGAAGTTAGATGCCCATGTGTCCTTCATACCTCACAGTTATAGGGTCTGAAGAGGCTCGTGTGGAATCATACAGGAGAGAAGCCAGCCAGTTGAGTTTGTACCAAAACCTTTTACAGTGCTGCACAGTGCAAAGTAGAATTTTGACGTTCATTACAGGGTGATTAGTTAAAACATTTAAAAATGCACCTGCATTGTTTTTGTGACTTCAGTTGAGTAAAAGACTATTTTTCCAGTCATATATTTCATCATTGAAGATTCCTTAAAAATAGTGTTAAAATGTCATCTCATCATTTTGCTCTTGTGAACCCAGTATCATGTATTGGAGCTAATTAAGAGGCAGTATTATTTATCTGACATTCTATTTTTAATTGTGCTCTCTTGACTCTTCACTGTCTGCCTTGCCTCATTTTTTCCTCAGCCTGACTCATACCTACTCACGCAGACACACAGACTGTTCGTTGCCTTGTGTTGTGATTCTTAACATGTGTCATCTTGTTGTGATGTTTTTGTGCTCTCTTATCAGTATGAAACACTAACACACATTCCTTCCTAAGCTGTTCATCATACACAGAACTTTGCTTTAGGGTTGCAGCGGTGTACCATGGTATGAAAATCATTCATGTTACTTTTTGGTTTTTGTAGAGCCTGGCCTGTGCAATTTACTCTTTCTTTTTTTTTTTTTTTTTTTTTTTTGTTTTAAAAAAAAAATACAATTACAATATTTATAATATTAAATCTGACAGATCAGATGAGCTGATATAGCTGATATTAGCTTTTTGCAGATGTCTCAGTACTGACATATATATTGGTCAGTAAGTATTATTATGTTTATCCTTTTCTGTATTTTATTGCCTTTCAAAGCGTAACAATCACCTAAACCATGTGATAAATAGGCTCAAGGTACCTCCTTGACTATCTGTTTAGGATTTGCAAGTTGTCTCGGAGCCCTGTCATTCTTTTTTCTTTCTCTTTATCTTTGTTGGTCATTTAGTCTGCTCATGTCAGTGGAGTCTTCCTGTCTATCACTTTGCAGCTGGGACTTCCCTTGGTTTCACTCTGCCAGATAGCAGATCTCACACACAGCTCGAGTTTGCTGACCCTTAAACTCTGAAATTCCTGAAAAGGCTTGACAAATGCTTATTCTTCTTGTTTTTTGTTTGTACACAAATGATACTTCTATATGTGAAATCAGTATTTTCATTATGATAGCTTTAGATTTTATGCCTGCATGTGGCCTTTAGTGATACATGACTTGTATTAATTTCTCACTAAGTGTGACCGTTTAAAATCCTGAAGTCCTTAAGTAAACGTTATTAGTTAGAGAAGAGTTTTGACAAAGTACTGATCATTAGCTACAGAAACCAAGTCTCGTTTTCCAAATTCTACTTGTACTGTAGTTCAGCTCGGGTGGCTTTGCCTTCGTTGCAGTATCAAACAACTGCTCTACTAATCAGGGCCTCACTACGGTTTGCCCTTGAGTCTCGTGCAGAGTGTTTTGCATGTTTACAGTGCCAGTGACCTCTGACCCCAAAACACTGTGTCATGTTGGCGTTGGGAAATACTTTTATGTAAACTTGACAGTTGTCAGTTACATGGGACATAAATGTATGTGTTTACATCAGGAACAGTAGTATTGCCAAATAAACATTCAAGTGTTTTTGAGCCCCAAATACATTCAAATTCATAAATTCCTTAAACTGTGCACCTTTACAGTGATTTTTACTTTTTGACGATATGTTGCCTACTTCAGAAATGAATCCATTTAAATTTGAATTTAGAGTAAAGATGGAGTGACATCACTTTTAACTTGTGTTGAAGAGGTC